CTGCGAGCCGGCCGGCGGGAGGCGGGTGCTCCGTGCAGGATTCCCAGAGCCATCTTAGCAGGTCCCCCGCGTGGCCGCCCACGGACGCGGCCGCCCTAACCGCCGCGGGCGCTGTTCGCGAGCTGGGCCTCCGTCCTGCCCGGGATGCTGTCGCCCGGACGACGCCGGCCACTGGGTCCGCCACCCCTCCCCGACCTGTTCCTCTGCCCGCACTCTGAGAAGTGCTGCGTGCTTTTTTTTTTTTAATTTGTTTTTTGTGGAAAAACGTGGAACTGGATGTACCCGGTTGGACGCGTTGGGTTTCTCAGTGCCGGCATAGTAAGGGCAGTGCTCAGACGCGGCGAGAGTAAGTGACAGCACAGTCGTCTTTACCCTGCAGCTGCCGAACTGGAAACCCCATTCCAGAGGTGCGGCTTCTCTGCATTTCCCACCTGAACACTTCCTCTGCTGTGCTGCACCCAAGGACATTGGGATTACATTTTTTCCGCCTTGATCTTTCAAGTCATTTCCTGTCTCTTGGTAATCTCTCCTCCGGTATCTGAACTGATTCCAACACACAGTGTTTGAAGAGTCTTAACGGCTGACCTAGTTGATCCTTAGATCCTTCCTCGGCATCAGGCTTGTTTGGTTTCTAAACATCGGGTTTTAAATGACTGCCTTGTAATGGAAAGAGAATTGGATGGGTATCAAAATCTGGGGCGGAACACTGGTTTTGCTACTTTTCAGTTGTGTGACCTTGAGCAAGTCAAGGTCTCTGAGCCTGGGATTAAAGTAGGGATATAAACATACCACTAGCTGAGGACTGTCCTGAGGGTCATAGGGACATGTGTCCAGAAGTGCTTGTCAAACGGAATGCTAGGCACATAATTATTTTTGTCACTATAGTCTCAAATTTTCGGTTCTAGTTTTAACTTAAGCAAGATAAGGCATTTGGAAACATTCCTTCCAATTCTCACTAGCTAGATTCTAAAAGACATAGTGTTTTGGAATTTTAAACACAGTTTTATTTAAACTCTGTAATAGTCAATCAGTGTGTACTATAGTACTATTGAAAGCTATCTAACATTTTAAACTGGTTTCATTATTGTGTAATGTTTAATTATGAATACGCAGCTAAGAAAATTGGCTTCTATCTTTCATGTAGTACAAACATTTTACCTCCAGCACACATGTTGAGAGTTTTGAGTCTCTATCCTAACAGGTTTCCTTTTTAAGAAGTTTGTCTAGCTGGCAATTGAGAAATTTCTTCAAATTACTCCAAACTATCAACTACTCTTTTACAAAAACAGGTCTATTAATTATTTAGAACACACTGCTTTTGTTTTAAAATGCCTTTTAGAGACAGATAGTATTTCAGCACTTCTTTTTTAAAAAATTAATTACTTGATTGATTAATTTTTTGAGAGGTTTTCGCTATAGGGCACGTGCGCTCGCCAGACAGAGACAGAGAGACAGAAAGCAAGAAATCACCCCCCAGGGGGGATGGCCACACTACAATCCCTTCTCCATTCTCCTCTTGGGATCTTGGGCACACACGCACACGCGCCTGGCGTGAGTTTTAAGCCACCGGGTCCAGGACAGGAACTGCGGTCAACTACGTGGGAGTCCAGCGACATAGCCATTACGCTAACTGCTGGTTCCCATTAATTTTAATTTTTGACCAGAGTGAGTGAGGGGTGTGGGGGGAAAGTAAGAAAGCAAGCCTCCAGATCTTGGAGATTGGCCATGTGGGAATTCAGTGCCTTAACCACCATGCCGCCTGCCAGTCCTTCAGCCCCTCTGCCCCTCATTTTTGGCTTTTACTTTGTATTTTCTTTTCTCTCTTTTTTTCTTAGAGAGATTTTTGCTATAGGGTGCATATGCTTGCCAGAGAGACAGAAAGTGAGAAATTACCCCCTCAGAGGTGATGGCCACACCATAATCCCTTATCTTCCATTCTTCTTCCTGGATCTTGGCCTTACCCCACGTGAATTTCATGCAGCCAGGTCTGGAACTCTAAGCACAGTCGACTATGTGGGAGTCCAACTACATAATCAATATGCCATCTGCTGGTCCCCTTACTTTCTTCCTTGGTCCCTAAAATTTTTTTAAGCTTGAGTCTTTCCTCTATTAACACACTTGGTGGTTGTAATTTAATAGAATTTTAAAGAACGTGCCATTCTTACTTGATATCTTAAACTATATACCCAAAATGTAAATAAGATTTTCCTCCCTTTATTGTATATTTGATGTCGATCATTATAGGGTCGGCAGGTGGCATAGTGGTTACAGAGATGTTCATCATTATGAAGGAGGACTGTATCATATTTTGCGTAGTTAGTATACAGCAGTACTGTCAAAAAGAAATATAATGCAAGCCACAAATACAATTTAAAAATTTTTTAATAATTACATGAAAAAAATTTAAAGTGTTAACTTTTAGTAGCCTTTTACTAACTTAGTATATCTAAAATCTTATTATCAGGTTGTAGGAAAAGTCATAATATATTGTTTTTCTTTTTTTTAGGAGAGGTTTTTGCTATAGGGCGTGTGCGCTTGCCAGAAAGACAGAGAGAGACAGAGAGACAGAAAGTGAGGAATCACCCCCCAGGGGGGATGGCCACACCGCAATCCCTTCTCCTCCATTCTCCTCTTGGGATCTTGGGCACACACACACACGTGCCCAGCGTGAGTTTAAGCCGCCGGGTCCTGGACTCGAACTGCAGTCGACTACATGGGAGTCCAGTGACATAGCCATTACGCTAACTGCTGGTCCCAAGTCATGATACATTTTTGCAAAGAAAAATACGTCTTGACTTTTCCATGACCCAATATTTTAACCTGAAAGCAATGTGAAAGAAAATCATTAATGTGATATTTTGCATTCGTTTGGTACTAAATCTGTGAAATCCCACATAGTTTTACATTTGTAACGTACCTCAATTCAGACTAACATATTTCTAGTATATTTGTGGTTAGTGGCTACATGCTGTACAAAGTAGGTTTAGAGTATATGTTATTTTATTTAAAGGTTGGCAATTAGTGTGTAGTGTTTGTGGTAACATTTAATTGATCAGTTGGTTTAGTAAGATAACCTAGTCTCCCTGCTGTTGGGAGGAAATGAGACTATTTGGCTAAGTTCTCATTTAACACATAAAGACTTTGGAAAAGTTATTATTTTTTTTTTAGAGGTTTTTGCTATAGGACACGTACGCTCGCCAGACAGACAGACAGAAACATAGAGACAGAAAGCGAGAAATCACCCCCCAGGGGGGATGGTCAAGCCACAATCCCTTCTCCTCCATTCTCCTGTCGGGATCTTGGGCACGCACGCACACGCGCCTGGCGTGAGTTTTAAGCCACCAGTCCAGGACGCGAACCGCGGTCGACTATGTGGGAGTCCAGTGACATAGCCATTACGCTAACTGCTGGTTCCCAAGACTTTGTAAAAGTTTTGTGTTTGCTTGTCATACAAAGTTCCGTGACTTATTTATTTATTTATTTATGCTTTAATTTGCTGGAGAGCCCTTGCATTCACAAGCAAGCCTTACAGGCAAGGTGAGAAAGAGGAAAGGAAAGTGAGAAAGCACCCCTTTGTGGAATATGGTCATGCCACAGTTCCTTCTCCATTTCTCCTTTCAGGATTTTGGACGCGCACACACACACACACGTGTTCAGCATGTTTTTCAAGCTGCTGGGTCTGAGGTTCAGATTGTACAGTCAGCCATATGGGATCAGCTGCTTTAACTACCAAGCCACCATCTGGCCCCATGACTTCCTATTTTTAAACAAAATTATATTTTAAAATTTTCCCTTATGGGTCCTGGCAGGTGGTTAAGGGTGCTGGACTCCCACATGGCCGACCATGGTTCAAGTCCTGGACCTGGTGGCTTGCTTTCTCACTTTCCTTCTCTCTCTGTCCTCTCTAGTCAAATTAAAATAAATAAATAAAGTTAAATAAAACAATTCTTTAAAAAATTTTTTTCCTTATGAAAATAGTACTTCCTTTGGTATCTGTAGTCACTCACCTTTGTGTCAGTGGATGATATTTAAAAAATATCTTCCCAGGGAAATAAGGGGCCACTTAAAGAATATTCTTCAGTTAGTGCCTAAGATCTGGGCCTAAAAGCATTTAGGCCATGCCTATACAACTTTGATAAAAGTAAGAATTTTGATAAAAATGGAAAACTCAGATTCATAGCATAGAAAAGATGCCTTGATTCAGCATCCTTTTTGAAGAAGAGTGATCTGGAAATAGGGAGACTTAGGTTCTGGTTCCCAGTTACCAGTAATTGTGGAGTTTCAAATTCATTTCTTTGATCTCAGTTTCTTGTGTGTGGAATGAGTTGAAGCTGGTGCTGTCCAAGTGTTAGTGGTTGGTGCAGGAGCTGACTTACAGCAGGCACTTTCAGGAAGTGCTCAGATGTCCACGTTGTCTCCTTCAAAGGTTGCGGCCACCTAACGCTTGTTTGACAGCCTTTCAGTAAATTCATTGCCCAAGTATCTTGGTGTGAGAGGGCTAAGAGGAAGAGATCAGGAAGTGTTTGCTGTTACTGTTAATTAATAATTAAGTCACTTGATAAGCTTGAATTTATAGCCTCATTTGGTAAACAAAACACCAAGACTGGATAAGTTTTTCCTATTCTTTTTTTCTTTTTAAAAGAAGATCTCTCAGTACCAGCAGCTGGCATAATGGCTATGTCGCTGGACTCGCATGTAGTCAACTGTGGTTTGAGTCCTGGACCCGGTGGACTGGACTCATGCCAGGCGTGTGTGCATGTGTGCTCAAGATCCTGAGAGGAAAATGGAGGAGAAGGGATTGCGGGGTGATTTCTTGCTTTCTGTCTCTCTGTCTCTGTCTTTCTGGCCAGCGCACATGTCCTATAGCAAAAAACCTCTCCAAAAACAGAATAGAATAGAATAGAAGAGAAGAGGAGAGAATAGAAAAAAGTAATAAAAGAAGATCTCTATGTAGGATCCTCCTGCCTCAGCCTCCTAGCTGGTGCCTCAGCCTGCTCTCTGAAACTGTAGACACATGTCACCAGACAGCGTCTGGCTGTACTGCTCAGCCTCAAGTTCTCTATCTTCTTGCCTCATCCTACCCACGTCTTTGGATTACAGGTGCATCCCAATGTGCCAGGCCTTTAGGTTGGCATAGGAATTTGGCCATCTATATATATTTTCTGAACTCTCATTTTCTTAAGACAAAAGTTATATATATAATGTTACCATTAAGATCATCTCTTTCTGGCCTCAGATCACCCAGAAATTTCTGAACGGAAAGGCAAAGCCTTAGTGATGCAAAACTGTGTATATAATAACTTTTGTCATTATAGTTTTATTAACTGAATGCAACTAGCAGTGGCA